CCGGATTCCCCGCAGTAAGTGTTGAATTTTAGGCGGAAAGGCCAAGAAAATAATATCTTTTATGATTTTTGCTGAGAGGGATCAAGTGCTTGCAGACAGGCTGAAGGAAGGGCTAATGTGCTCCTTTCAGGAACGGTCAAAAAAATAATAAAGCACCAATAGTTTTTCTTTTTTATTTCTTTGTATCTAGGGTTGTTAAATAGTCTAGATACAAAATGCACAATATGTGGGAGCAGAGATTGATGCATATTCAACAAGAAATAAAGAATGACACCGGAGACAAGTGAGTGACATGTAAAAAAAAGAAGAAGCAAAAAAAGGGGAAGAGATTGATGAGCAAAATTTCAACAGTAAGCTTTTAGAACCTTGCACATTCAACCCTTCTTTCTGTCAGCCTTAGAGCCAGCCAAGCTGACCAAAAGACTGCTTAATTCTCCCCTTTTCATCTATGTTAATACTGTAACTTTTTCATCTTAAGATTTTATTAAATTATGACTTCAGAAATGAATTCCTCATGTAATTTAAACTCCAGTCACCACTAGCCACTTTCACACTACTCTTCTCCTTCATTGACTTTGTGATATTTCACCATACCTTGTCAAATATCAACCAAGTTGGAATTCCAACTCTCTCTACCACATGTACATGTTGTGATTATGTAATCCAACTCTGAAAATTCTCTCAGAGGATACTGAGTTCACTTTTTCAAGATCTTCAGACTCCAGACCAACACAGAACCACAACAACCAGACCCAGATCAAGCCATCACTTATCAACCAGAAGTACTCCACTTTTCCCACCTTTTCCACAATACAGTGTCATTGGTGTCATTAGTAAGTAACTTCTCATAAGTTTTAGCTAGCATCTTTCTGCTTGTTTCTTTCTCTGTCTCTCTCAACCTCTTTCACTTCTTCTCCAAACCAAAGCCCTGATCAAAGAAAGCAAGCCATAGTTGCTATTATCTCAACTCTTCCTGTTTGGTAGTACAACTGAAAACTACATAGGTTTCCCTTTAAAGAGCCTTGATCCTTGATCTAAAAAATTGTGGTTGACCTGATTCTTCAGTGTCAATAACCCATTTCAGTTTCTGTTGATTTGGAGGCGTCAGAGTTAGCTCCGCTTATAACAGCCATCCTAAAAAGGAAAGTAAGACTGTCAGCAGCCATCCGAAAAGGACAGTAAGACTGCCAGAACCTTAATCATCATCATTAAAGAAATAAATAACAAAAATATTACCTATTTCTTTCACTCTTCTTCTTTCCTTTCTTCTACTTTTATTTGTATCCCTCTTCTATTAAGAAATACATATAAAAGTGCCCCCCATATCTTGTGTCCTGCTGTCACTATAGAGACCCAGGCTCACACTTTCCCACACTTCAGAAAGCTTGACTTTTGACCCACTCGCCACCGCTTTCCTCAGCCTGCATGTGTAGTGTCAGCTCCGTATGCTTTTGTCATCCGCCATGTGCATTCCGCACTTGCCAAACAAATTGGCCAAAGCTTTGGCCCCAATGCACTCTCTCCACCACATTGTACTGTAAGTTATGTTTTTTCAAATCAAATTCAAAACAAAACCATTTACCTGAAACATTTGATGGATCAGGATCAATTTACTCTCAGATCACTCAAAACAGAACATGATCTACACCAGGGGAAATTTCAGGCTTTCCAGTGACTGCAAATCACAAATAAGTCACCCTGGAAGATTTGATTTTTTTTGTAAAAATCACTAAAAGGATCATGATAGAAAATGGGACTCACAAGAAAGTCACTAGATTTTACCCAGAATTTACTACTAATTTCCCAGAAAAGAAAATGAATGTCCTCTAAAATTCCCTTTTGCTTACACCTAGTTTCCCCCCAAAGATAAGGCTGCTGATTCAAATAAAAAAATAAAACCTGCTAATTGAATACAATTTTCATGGCCTCAGCAGTTTTTTTGGAACAAATGTTACAGATTTGATTCACAATCAGATCAAGGGAAGCTCTTATTCTTTTGGTTTTGTAGCCCCTGTAGAAATCCTTTTAGAACATCACAGAAATTCAACCATATTCAAGTTTGTGATTTCTCTTTCTAAATTCATCAATAACAGATGCCAATTATATGTTTATCACACTGATAGTGTACACCTTAATCAGAATTATAAATCAGATTCAAATTTATATTGCAAATAATTCATTTTTAGGGGGAAGGAATGAAGTGATTAATTTGATTTTGATCAATCACTCATTTTAAATAGTGTCATGACAAGTTCAAACCTGCTGGGTCAAGTAGCTATGTATACCTGGTATTCCCACTAAAAGATTGTGGAACAGTGACCAGGAAGTATGGTCTTGCAAGCCAGTCTGGACACAGGCCCAAGACCTGTGTGGCTGAGTGCCAATGGGGCTTGGGTATGTGCCCAGGGGGCTTGATTTGGTAGGTCGTGTGGGGACTGAAACTTGGCACTAGCCCAAGTCTGGCTTGGCCGAAGCCAAGCTCTGGGCTCACCAGAGTGCGGGTGGCAGACTTGGGGCCCGGTCAAGTGTGGATTGGTGAGGTCAGCTTTGGCACGGGTGGCACACTTGCTTGGGCTTGGCCAAGCATGACTTGGGCCTGACCCCCTCCAACTTTGGGAGGTGCCAAGCAATGGTTGGGTTTAGAGGGGCACACGGTGTAAGACTCAAAAGTGGTTGTGAAACCCTTTTGCTGAATGGAGAAGGGTATGTTGGAGTTGCAAGCTCTGCCCTTCTATACTATCAGAATAACAAGACCACCAAGCTTAGCTTGGCAATTTTATATATAGTGATAGGGATAAGTTCGAGATGAAGCTGCTGATTGATATGTGTGAGGGTATAAAGATGTTGTTGACTGTTGGTTATATTGATGAAGTTGTTGTTGATGAATATGGTTCAGGGCACTTTTGGTTTATGAAGATGATAAAAGTGTTAAATCTGTATTTCAATGTATATAATTCTGAAATTGTAATGTGGCTATGACTTGTAGTTATGAAATAATATATAAGATGGATTTCTTTATAAGGGTGGTTGAGATGATCTGGTCCACTGGTGGGATGATGGAGGGAACAACTGGCAGGCAGAGGCCTCCTTATATAGACAATTGTGAGGGATTTTGGCCCCAGGGTACAGGCTGAAAGATACTACTACAAAGGGATGCATATGAATGAATAAAGGGACGCATATGTATGATCAAAGGGATGCATACATGCAATATTACTAATACAAAGGGATTCAAAATAACGTAAAGGTATTCAGTTTACTACAAAGGAATCCAGTATGCAATATGCATCCTGTATTCATAATGACTATGGCTAGAGTGAAGAATCCAAGAAATATCCCGCGACAGGTTGAAATCTGTGTAACTTCTAAACTATAAGAGATAAGGGTATGGTTGTAGTGGGTGACTAGGGGTTATTTTACCTGAGGATTCCATTTTTGATGTCATTTTTACCATATCTTGAATGAATAAAGAGATAATAAGAAATTTTTATATTTTCTGCGTAGAAACACAGTATTATTTACCACATCCTCCCCCAACTTATTGGCTGTCCCCAGTCAATTCTGATTCTGACTGTGTTTTGGAGCTAATATTACAAATAAAAAAAAATAATTTTTGGCCGTGTATATCTGAGATTTGTCTTGAAGCGTGTTGAGTAGTTGGTGAAGTCATCCGTGGAGTTTTGATTGGTGAAGAAATGTTGAGATTTTTGCGATGTAGGTGTGATTTGTTTCAGTGTTGCTCCCATTTGATTTGATGAGGTGTAAGGTTTGGTTATTCAGTTGTTTTGGCTTGGGATTATTCTGTATTTAAATGATAACAGCAAAAATTCCACGGTATTTTGACTCAATCTTAGTAGAAATTGGGCCAGATGAGGGTTTTCAAACCCAATTTAAACTCTGATTTTCTAGGTTGTATTTTATGACCTCAAAAGGATCGGGTGCACACAGTAGGTGCAGATGGGTTAAGTTATCCAAAGTTGACTCAAGGTGGGGCTCGAACTCAGGTCCGCAGCAGTTTCACTAGTCACAGTCCTTACTGACTCGACTACGGTGGATTTGAAAATCGCAGCTTGTATGAGGTACTAGATCGATCGCGTTTGTTCTAGGTTTCTATGCCCTGTCACAGATTGTGACAGGGTCCGACCGGTATTAGGACTCCGCGCTAGCCTCTCCGTGGGTCCTCACTCCCTGACTTCTCCCATCTTCTCACCAATTCCGACTATCGACTCAGTGGCTTGTCGACGATCGACGATCCTCAAACTAGTCGACGATCCTTCCCCGCCGGTAAGTTTCCCCGGTATTCTAATTTCTCTGTTCTGATAGTCGTTGATCGTTTTTTAGACCATCTCCGCGGCGAGTCTGGCGGATAGCTTCAGCGTGTTGGTGAGTTTCTTTTCGTTTCTCATTCTCTTCCTTTTATTGTTGCTAGCTTTATGTACTTTCACTAGCTGACAATCGTTTTTGATCGGCACTCCTTTGTTTTTGAGTAGTAGTAGTCAATGGTTTAGCACCATCCGGGTTGGATTTCGAATCGATTTCTCTTCCGTATTCATTCCTCGTTATTTTGAATAAAGGATTCGCGGTAAGATTGTTTTCTAACTTCTTTCCTTTTATTTCTCTAGTCTTGTGTAGTCTCTTTAGTTGACGATTGTTTTCGATCGTCGTTCCTTTGTTTCTTAATTAGTGCTTCGATGGTTTAGCCTAGTCATCTTGAATACAAATCACAAGACACTCGCCGACTTGACTAAAGGAACGTAGGATGGCCTCAACCGTCGAAAAGGAAAGCCTTCGCCACTGGTCTTGAATCGATCATGGAGAAGTCCCGGCATTGGTAGGTCAGAGTCGAGGGTTCCTCGTTTTTCTATAAATACCCTTGGCATACTGTCGGTTCCTCTTTCTCCTCAACCACTCCTTCATCAGTCACCTTCATCCAAAGCCCATTCCCTACTCCTCGGTCACAACTTCACCTTCAAAACTCCTTCCATCCAACAAAAGAAAAGATGTCTTCTCGCTACTCCACCCCGGACTACACACTTGACGACATGCGCTCCGAGCCTTTGATCGGAGTAAGTAATAAGTTTCTTATGTTCTCGTCGAGTCTGTTTCTTGATGCTAATGTGTGTGTTGATTCGATCTTAGTATGACTATGTCCAGAATGGGATTCGCTACTATCCCGATCGCGATCAATGGAGTCCCGCTTGGGAGCCAGAACCCTCTCAAGCTTCTCAACCATCTCCAAATGACATGGTTGTGGATCCACCAGTCATTGAAGAGGCCAAACCAGTAAGTCGATTGTCTTCGTTTTGTTGTGTGTATCATCATGATCTGACTTCGCTTCTGACTGATATTTTAGAATACCGGGACCGCTAATGGATCCAATGGGAAGGCGCCGATTGACCCCGTGCTGTCTAACAACCTTTTTCGAGTAAGTTCCCCTTCCTTTCCTCCCGAAACTAGCCCCTTTTTTTTTTTCAAATCCTGATTCATTGTGTGTCTTCCTTCGATTCTAGTCGACTAGTACTGGCCCCATGGAGAAGATCGTTATTCCGAAAGGGATGGAAATCGTGGAAACCCCAGGCTACTACTATCCCCTCAAGGCGAAATGGCATTTCGTTTACGATCCTCAAGAACGTTATGACCTCGTAAGTTCCTTTTCTTTGTTCGTTTGTTATTGATCTTGACACTGATTGTGTCTCCCTTTCTAAGTCCTCAATTCCCGCCGCAGTCCCCAGAGTAAGTATTTATAATGATCCTAATCCTTTCGTTTGTGTCGCGTGGAATGAGAACGACCCGGTAAGCCTTTCTTTATTTATTCTTCTCATCGGTTTCGTTGATCCCCTTACTGATACGATTTGTTTTATTATTGTTTTAAATTTCAGGAGCTTCCCCCCGGCCTCCCGATCCCCTTCTTGAAGACCACGGCTCCGATCGACTTCTCTTCAAATTCTAGCTCTCCGGCTCCGTCTTCGCAATCTAGCTCGGCACCCTCGACCTCGTCTAACACTTCGTCCACTGCGTCCTCAGCCTATCCCCCAATCTCCGCTTATATCGGCTTGAACCATCAAGGGGTTCAACGACTCCTCCTTGACGACAACAACCCGCCATCCGCCGTGTGTATTTATACCGAAGAAGATGTTATGCGCATCTTTGAAGGTATCGCTCCCGATTACGTTCATATGTGCTCAGAGTATCCGCCATCCTCTTTAGCCGAATCCGACCGCCGAGTAATGTTCTTTGAGAACATGCAATGGCATTTCAGAAATAAAAGATCTACTTATTTAAGTACCAGAGAGTTTTAGTTTGTTTTGTTTTCCCCTCCTCTTCTTCTAAAACCCAAAAAAAACTTTTAAAAGGTAAAACAATCTAAAAAATATAAAATTTCTTTAAAAGACTAAAAAAAAATGTGACTTCTTCTTCTTAACCCTTCCCCATGGTTACTATTATTTAACTTTGTTTTACTTTTTACTCTTTATTTTTCTAAGTAAATAAATTTTTAATTTTTCCAAATTTGACTTTTCAGACCCCCTCCCCCAACTTTGCTGGTTGTCCTCAACCATCAACTGAGACAGTCAGTTCTTTGAAAGTAAGTTTTAAGAGAGAAAAAAAAAAAAAAAAAAAAGCAAAAGAAAAAAAGAAAAAAAAAAAGGGAAAAAAAAGAAAAAAAGTTTTGAGGAGAGAAAAAAAAACTTTAAAAGAAAATGATGACTTTACTCTTCCATGATCCTCCCCAACTTATAAAAAAATGAGTCTAAAGAGTTTGCAGATTAGCTAAGTGAATATTTTTACTATTTGTGAGTTATATCCAGTTTTTTTACTAGTTCAGTTTATATTCTATGTTATGAGTTTTTGTATAGAAGATGATGTTTTACATATAATGATTATAAAAGAAACTGATAAAAAAGAAATGTTTTATTCTGAAGTGGAGGAATTCTCATCTGAATCACCGTCTGAGTTAAGATCTGAGTCTGAGCCTGAAAGTGAGTCTTCTTCATCTTGTATATCTGCCAAAGGTCGTCCTCGTGGATAAAACCTTTTTATGTGAGATGCAGCATAGGCCCTTTTTAATTCAACCCCGTCTAGTTCTTCCAGTATGTATGATCCTCCATTAAGCTGTTTCTTAACTTTAAAAGGTCCATTCCATCTGTTTTCAAACAACTTCCCCCACTGATCCTCCAGACTTTTATTATAAGTTAAAACCAAATCCCCAGGTTGCAGTGGTTGACGTAATCTGGCCGCCATTTTTCGATCCCAGAATCTGACTGAAGTTTCCCGAGTTTCCATCATTTTGTGGTGAGCAATTTCCAAAATTTCGTCTCGTCTTTCCAGCTGTTTTGTTCTTGCTTCTAGAAGTTCGGCCGTAGTGCTGATTTCTGTCCAATCAATTCCAAGATAGGTGTCCATTTCGATATCCACTGGGAGAACTGCCTTCTGTCCGAACATCAATTCATATGGGGAAAATCCAGTTGTCCTTTTTGTGGAAATTCTATCTGAAAATAAAACTAATGGTAAATATTCTCTCCATTTTCCTCCGGATTCGCCACACATTTTCACTAAAGTATCTTTAATGGCTCTGTGTCCTCTTTCAATCATTCCATTTGCTTCAGGGTAGTACGGCGTAGTTGGTTTGAATTTTGCTCCAATGCTTTCCACTGCCGTAATAAACTCGTTCTTGAATTCTGGTCCATTGTCTACCGTTACTGTCTTGATTGCTCCATACCGATACACCCATTCTTCTAGATGGAATTTAGCAATGGTTTCTGACGTCAGATTGACAAGTGGTGCTGCTTCTGCCCATCCCGATAAGTCGTCTCTAGCAATTAATAAATATTTATATCTTCCGGCTTTTATATGGCAAACATCTAAAGCTACTCGTCCGAATAAAGTTGTTGCTCCAGTTGGATCCCTGATTTCCCTAGGTACTAAGGCGTCTCGTTTCTGACATGCTTCACAACTCTGAACCCATAGTTTTACCTTCTTCTTCAAGCTGGGCCACCAAAATCGGCAAACTAGTCGTTGATAAGTTTCTTCCAGACCTCTATGCCCTAGTTCCTCATGTACTTTTCTCAACAGTTTACTTTGATAAGAAATATTAGAGATTACTAATTGAGCCATAGGAGAATGCCGTCGCATGAGTCGTCCATCCTGAATAAAAAAGTTTACTGATTTCCGCTTCATTGACCGGTATTCTTCAGGATCCATGCCCGTTGGCCGTTTCATTGTACTTAAGTAATTTTTAAGATCCATCCAAAATCCCGGTGATTCCCACTCCAAGAGTTCATCTGATATAGAAAATGTTTTGAACTGAAAAGTTGCCCGTATCACTGGCTCATCCTCGTCAAAATCCGGCTGATCTTTGTAGAATTCTTCCTCTTCGTCACTGATAGGCCTTCTGGATAAAGCGTCCGGTAAAGTAAACGTTTTTCCTGGTTTATGTACTATGTCGAAAGAGAAGAGCTGAATAAAGGCCACCCATCGCGTCATTGGTGCATTTGGAAGTGAAGGCGAGTTAATCATTTGAATAAGTGATTGGGCGTCCACTTGTAATTCAAAATGTTGACCCCAAAGAAGTGTTTGTAGTTTCTTGAGAATTCGTGATACCCCGCATAGTTCTAGTTTAGGCTGAGAATATTTGGATTCCACGGGTGAAAACACTACAGATTCGTATAAAACTGGTCTGTTCAATCCTGTCTCTAGTTCTTGCTGGGCCAAAACTGCTCCTGCCGCAATAAAACTTGAATCCACTGCCAGTACAATTAATCCTGCACCTTCCGAATAGTCCAAATTTTTCAGAGTAATATCTTCTCCAATTATTTTCTTGAGTCTATTAAAGGCTTCGTTACACTCTCCGGACCAGGCCCAGCTAATGTCTTTCCTTGTGAGTTTTCGTAGAGGTGCCGCAATTTCCGCTAGATCTTTGACAAAAATACGGACGTAAGTGACTATTCCCATAAACCCTCGTAGTTTGGTGAGACTATTTGGAGTTGGCCATGTGGTGATTTTGTTTTTCTTTTGTACTGAAACTTTTCGTCCTTCTTTGCTGACTACGTGTCCAACTATATCCAATGCAGGAACACAACAAGCAAACTTCTTTCCTGAAATAGTGAGTCCGGCTTCTTCGATTCTAAACAGTACTCTTTCCAAGGTTTGAGCATATTCCCATATAAATCGTCGTATACCAGGGTTTTCTTCCAGAACTTCATCGTTGTAAGTTGATTGAGGTCCTTTAATCCCACCATCGTCAATAAATACGCCCACATATTTCAGAATTTTGTCTTGAAGAATCCACATCATTTGAGCTTGATAGACTGAAACCCAATTTGTGGCCCCTTGAGGAAGTCTGGTTAATTGAAATCTCCCCAATGGTGTGTCAAAGGTGGTTAAAGGCCTTGATTCTTCCGCTAATTCTCGTTCATCGTATCCTCCCATAATATCCCCTAATCCGTAACAGGCTCGTCCGGCAAAGGCTTCTACAAATTCTTCTGTTGCCGGCGGTAATCCTGCATCCTTGATTGTTACTCGGTTCATTTCTTGTAGGTCGTGCACAATCCGTAATTTTCCATCGTGTTTTGCAACACAAAAAACTGGACTAGAGTAGCTGGAAGTGGATTGCTCATAAAGACCTGTCCGTATCCGTTCTCGTACTAGTTCTACATAGTCGTCCTTGATTGCAGCCGGTATAGGTATTGGTTTCTTCTGCCAAGGTATATGATCAATAACCGGTATTACATAAGGTAGTCCGTAAGAGTGTTTCAAAAGCCCTTGTTCTTCCATACAAAATGCCAAAGCTTTCTCTCGGAGAACAATAACGTGCTTGAATAGTTTAAGTTCTTCTTTCCAAAGCCATCCTTCTGGTCCAAAATTAACCACTTTTAACCGTTCTTCAGTAATTTTATTCGTAGGCGTAAATTTGGGCGGATGCGGGGTAAGCGGGGTTTTGTATGGATCTCGAGACAAAGGTGGTCGCTTCAATGGTGGATTCAGTAATTGTGGAATTGGTTGATTTATTGGGTCGAACTTTCTTCCCAACTGGGTTTATACTTTGTCATACACCATAGATTTCCCTCTTGCCAACTTTCGCACAGCTTTTGTTTGGAAGGTTAAACCTAACCCTTTCCTGAGTAAAAATATTCCGTAATTCTTTCCGATTCTGTTTGTACTGGGTTTTGACACTTTTTTGAT